CCCCCCTCCCTTTCAGTGCGCCCCCTTTATTTGGATTCAGTTTCGGAAAGCGAGAGGATGGCAAACATGTAACGGAACAACTGACTGCGAGCAGCAGAGAAGCATCAAAGGACGTCGGCTTTTTTACGACGTGCGAACAGCTGTCAACAGAATACACTCAATAAATTCATGAAATTCGAAACAGCACCAAGGCAGCCGACCGTCAAGTCCAGCAGAGCGGATGCGCGTCGGATCCAGAACCAACAGACAGGATGAACTGAGACATTACGCGCGAGAGGTTGCCACGGGCACGTTTGGGCTTGACCTCGGCGGAGATCGTTTCTTGGGACAAGCGGCTCGCACGGTGATGATGTATCAATGAAGAATGTCACTGCGACCGACTCTGTCCAAACAGGGTTGATGAAGCCCTCGGCGGTGTCATGCGTCTTGCCCCGCAGCCAAGCGCGCAACCCCTGCGGCTTCTAGTTCTGCTCCTCCTCGCGAAAGCGGTCCCCTCATCCCCGGTAATCTCCACTGGCTGCCCGGACAGGTGCGTGTGTGACGACCAACTTGTGGTCCAGTGCGCTGGGCAGCATCTGACCACCTTCCCGGTCAACCTTCCGCTGGCCACGCGGCAGCTCATCATCTCTAACAACCGTATTGCGGAGCTGCCGCCTCTCGCGCTCAACTACCTCTCTGACCTGGTGTACCTGGACTGCAGCAACAACTCTCTGACGGAGATCTCAGAGTCCACTTTTGGGAATCTACGCAAGCTGGCCTACTTGGACCTCTCCTTCAACACTCTGACCCGGATCGAGGACAGGACGTTCGGCCCCTTGGCGAGCTTGGTGATGCTGAGGATGACGGACAATCCGGGACTCTCCGAAATTCACCCGGACGCTTTTGGGGAGAACGCGGCCCTTCAGGTACTCGATGTGAGCCGAAACAACCTGACGGTCTTCAACATCACCTCCTTGATCGCGCTGCCCGCTCTGCGCTCAGTGGGGCTCAGCGGGAACCCGTGGAGCTGCGAATGCGACAACGAGGACCTGTCCTTGTGGGTCCATCTGGAGGGCTTCAAGTTCCAAGGTCTTGTCAGTTATCTACTCTATTTTTTCTATCAACAAAGAACATCACTTACATTTGCTTTGGTGAGACGCGGAAAGGCCCCAGAGAGCCAGTCATACACAAATATTGTTACTCCATTTAATTGTTAGATAATTCTCAGTTACATAAACTGGCCTCCCGATGGAGGTTCTTTCAGTAACAGAACAGCATCCACTAATAAGATCAACAAAGTGCCCGCGCAGCACCTTTCATAAATCCAGCTGTGTTGTATGTCGATAAGCAACAACTTATATGAAAAAGCACTTTAGAAGTAAACAGACAAAGGGCTACTTTAATAGCTAAAAATTATGGTGAATCTAGAGGCTAAGTCATTGTTTATAAGCTGGAATTACTTCTGTTTAATGTGCAGAATTTTTTTGCTATTATTTGAAATCACTGAATTGAAATCCCCACGTCTGTACAGTTTAACCACAAGGCACTGATTCAAAATCAGCTATTGAACCTCTTTTGTCCCATCTTCTGTGGAATGTAGTTTGAAGGTCATTTGATTTCATTTAATTTATCTGGGTCTTAGTCATATGCACATATACATTAGAGTTTCAGGGGCCCTGAAAGTCTGTGCATCTGGAGCTGTTAACAATTTTGCCTCGTTGGTTGGTAATCGAGATTGGTGTCCTCCTACAAAGTGACAGTCCTTTAACTGTGATTTTTTGTTTTTTCACACCTTACATAATTAAAATTCTTCTTATAAGACAGAAAAGATGTTCAAACATGAACAAAATGGCAGCAAAGCTCTTCCTTTTGACTCCCTCAAGGAAAGAATGACTCTGTGTCTTTCTGAATACATGCAGAGGCTTAACTACTGGATTTCCCTCACACCATGTCACTCCCTGTCATGTCTGCATCTCAGTACAGACACACACACACACACACACACACACACACACACACACACACACACACACACATGCCATGTGGTATCCATGTACACCACAACTCTGCAATGTGCTGTTAGTTTGATGTAACTTCACTCTTCTCTCATCTTTCAGTGGGATGAGACGCAGGTGACAGCAGTGGAGCGTGGCAGCAATCAGACTATCAAATGACAAAGAGGGTGAAAGAAGATCGTAGGCAGGGACCCACTTGATTTGTCTTCTGGCGACTTTACTCATAAATTCTGTTCTGCTCTCTGCAGTGATGAAGGAAACAAGGCGTTTCTTTTTTGTTTTGTTTTTTAAATCTGCGAATGACTAATCAATCTGCTATCAGGCTCCTGCGTTGCAGGCGTGATAAATGGCTCCACCATCAAATATTGATCCCCTTTGTTTTGTTGCTGTCAAGCTGATAAATGTGTCCGGTGTTCCATCATCGTTCTTACTTTGAGTTATTATGCTCGTGGATAATGGTGTGGATGTGTCACTATGCAAAAGGGCAGCTGCTATTTATAGTGTGATTTACTGAGCAAGAAGCCAGCCATAATTCTAACACCACAGCTATAACACAACTGCCACGCTCACTAAAAAGGCATCCCCTGCTCTTTTCCCTCTCACACATACGCACACATACACACACACTATAGTTCATCATGCTCCCTGTGAAGCTCAGACTGAGTCCAAAAGGAGTCCTGCAAGAGCTGTCCCATTTTCCTGCCTCTCGTTGCCTTTTGTCTAGCTTAATTTGGAGTTGAGTCTCTTCCAGTGACAGCTGCCAATGAGGGAGAAGGCGGACACATGGATACAAACATTCTCTACATTTACACGCAGCCTTTGGTAAACACTATAGAAACTCACACACATACACACCCTCACAGGCGCAGATTTTACACACTGACTGATTTGTGCACTGAGACGTTTAAACACAGACAAAGCATACTTGTGTAGCTGGGGGGTGGGAAGGGGGTTTCTGGGGGAGGGGTGTAGAAAAACATTTTAGAGACGGTTGTTTTTCAGCTGCAAGCTCCGGCTCCCAAGCCTTGTTATCGCTTGCCTGGGTCTCACCTGGCTCATGCAACATGGCCTGCCTTGTCTCCTCGGTTTAGGAAATGCATCGAGACCAAGCGAGAGACAGGGAGAGAGGGAGCGAAAGAAATAAAGCCTCAGGAAGGAACCAACAGATTCTCCTCTGTCTCGCCTTCCTGGCTAGATTAGCACTCTCTCAGCTGTTATATAAGGAGAGCGTCTAGAAATAGAGCAGTGTGGATGGGGGAAGGAGAGAGGGAAAGCCCTGTCCTTTGATGTCAGTCCCTGTAGGGGTATAGGGGGTGAAGCCATAAGGGTTTCCTTCCTAGCTGTCAGGCCTCCCCTCACACACCTGCATATGCAAACACACACACGCAGACATGTGCATCCACAACCATTTGCAGATTCAGATTGGAAACTTAAATCTCATGCAGACACATGCATGCACAGTGCATTAAGTGGGAATGCACACTGTACGTATTTGTGTCTGCATGGAGGGCTGTCGGAATTTGAGCAGCATATTGTGTGAACAGTGAGCAGCAGCAGAAGCTTCTGAGAGGATCAGAGCAGACTTTGAATTTTCCCTGCTATTAAGCTTAGAGGAGCAGAGCCTCCTCGTGTTCTTCAGCTGCATGCTCATTTTTTAATCTTTGAGACACATAAGAGCTTCTCTGAGCATAAAAGCAGAGATTTCAGCGCACAGTGAATAATATATTAGGGGAAGCATACATTTCAGTGAGATGGAATTGTCGAGTAGTTTGATTGAAAGCGACGGTATGATCCCTGTCACCCTCTGTCAAATCACACCTCCCACCAACCTGAGCCTGTTTTTATATGTGTTGCCAGTGAGCAAGCGGAATAGGTTTAAACAGCTAAAAGTAATTGAGTGTGAACATTTGAAAACAATTAGGTAAAATATTAACTAAACAGTTGATATAAAAATGGAAGAAAAGCGATTAACAAATAGGTGAATAGCTTAAATGACTGAATGTGCAGGTTAAACGACGACGCAGAAAGAAGTAAACAATTCAGCTGAACTCTAATAATAAGCAAGTAAAAATGCTGTTGACTTGGAGCAATTAAGGGTGCAACAATACCGGCTAAACACCTGCATTTAATGGCCTTGTTGATTCATGTGAGGTCATCAGTGAATATGGACGTGGCTGATCTTCATTAATCACAAACACATAAAGAACTGAAAGAAAACAGTACAGTTATCTGTTATAATAACAACTTTCTTTCTTCTTTGTTTTTGGCAGAAATTGGGAATTAAAGAAAACCAAACTGGTTATTAGCCAAACTGTTACTTCAAACATCAGGATTGGCATCAGCCCAATATTTCAAAATCTTATGTGTCTCTTAAAGTAGTTTCATAAAAAGCCAATACTTGGAAAAGGAAGTGTAGATGATTTAAATTCTAGGGGTTTTTTTCATGTCAAGACATAATAAAAATGATTTGGTCCTCAGCAGGTATTAAAATTTGGGAAACATAACCTCAGATTAGGATGTGACATATTACACAATGTCATTATTTGTTTAACAAAAATTAAGCTAAAATGCAGAATGCAGCTAGGTGCCGATAATGAAATGCACTTAATTAACTGATCATCAGTTCTTAAAGAAGCGATTGCTGCTGCAGCCAGCAGTCTGGGAAGGTTTGTGCAGCCATGTCTAAACCATTCGAAGTCCGTCATTCTACAGCGGGAAAGATTATTCACAAGTGGAAAACATTCAAGACAGTTGTTCCCAGGAGTGGAAGTCGCAGCATATTTACCTGAAGTTCAAACTGTGCAATGTTTACAGAACCTGTAAAAAAAACAGGAGCTAGATCTCGGACTCTGAAGGCCTCAACTAGCATGTTCAATGTTAAAGTTCATGACAGTACAATTTGACAAACAGTTTGGAAAGGTTGCCAGGAGAAAGTTTATTATCTCTACAAAGAACATGTCAGGACAGCTTAGGTTAAAAAGCTGCATCCGAACAAACTACAAGACTTCTGCAACAATGGCGATATCTGGCGATAATTCACAGTGCCATGTTTGGACCAAAACAGCATATCAGTACAAAAGCTGTAAAGCCCGGTGGTGGAGGGGTGATGACCAGGGCAACCTTCAGTCACTGCGTCGACCATGAACTCGTCTGTATACCAAAATATTGTAAAGTTAAATGTGATGGTCATGGATTGGCTCAGACAAACTTTACTTATGCCTAATATTCCTGTATAAGTGTAAACATACCATAAATGTAAGCTGTACTTATTTCCTACTTTTCTATTAAAACAGAAATAAATGAGGGACTTTTTCACAGTACTGTATATAAAATGTTTTGACGGTCATTATTATTATTATTGTTTATTGTCATCTAAAATTGTCAGCTGAAATAACACAGAATACAGTAAAATGTTCATAAAGTCAAAGCTTACCTTGCTGAAAGACCAATGATCTCTGCTACAATGATCTGAATTTGCACACGATGACCACCTAATGGATCTTCACCCAAACTGTGCTTAAGGTCAAGGGCAAGATCACATTCATCATTCTCAGTCTATTTGAATTCTTATCAATTTGTCCAATACAGCAAACTATTGGCAGCTGGGTGACCAACTACATACGACATAAAGCTACAAAATTATAGGGTAATACATGAGTAAATGTTTTCATTGTCATTTTTCATGGTAAAAAAAAAGATTTATGAACGTTTTGTTATTTATCAGCGGTTTGTGCGACGAGATCACTCTGTTCAATATTAATGAGATGTTTATGTAAGTGTTGTGCAGTAAGTTTACAGTTATTCTCTGATGGTCATGTCTCGGTTTTCCTCTGTTTGTTAGGGTTATGTGAATGTTACAATTCCATGGCATGCATCTCACAGCAAAAAGAATCAGGGTATTTTAAGCATGCTGGTATGAAAATGGGGCTACAGGAAACTGTTCCCTGTGCAGAAACTTCCAAGTCTTTTCATCTCTCCCAGTGGGAATTTCTCCTAGCACAAAAGCTCTGAAAAAACAGAAGCCAATTAAAAACAGTGGCCGTGTGGAGATGCCACACTCTGCTGTGTTGCACTTTTTTGCTCACAATAACAAAAGACTCAACCAGCTTTCAGGATTGTTATCTTAAAAAAAAGGCCTCTCTGATGAGCTGCTGCAGGGCTCAACACCTATAATGTGGTGTGTTTAATTTTCATTCAGAGGGCTTTAAAATTATAGTTCATGCAGTTTTCTGAAAGCGAATGAACTCAATATTTTGTTAGAATATGTGGATTTCAGCAAGGTCTCAGTACTGTAGTGAAGTCATATCCAGTCCCTGATGATGAGAACCCTTATTATCTGTGGTTTCAAGCAGACACAAAGGCTCAAGTCACTCACTAATCCTGTGCAGGGAAAAGGAATTTGAATATTTCATCCATGATTTTTTCTTTTTTGTTAACATAATGCTGCATCAACAGCAGACTGTGAAGCGCAGGAAGCTCTTAAAGCTTTTGTAGTTTTCTGAAAGAAACAGCAACATTATTATGATGCAATTTGCTGCCTTTTGGTTATTTATTTATTTAGAAGTATGAATGTGAATGAGTTTTGGATATCCTCGTCTCAGGATGCTGCCATTTACAAATGTTGAGGAAAACAAGTACAAACATGCTTGAATTATTCAAAAGGCTGCTCTCTTTAATGCCATATGTATGATATCGTACTTTGCATTATGTTACAACTCTCACAGCAAAGGATCTCATAGATCATATGCTAATTAGATGCAAAGGTTTTACACACATCGGCTGTACATAAGTAAAAGTACTGGATGAAGAACGTGTGAGAGAGAAAGAGCTCTGTGACAGACTGGCGACCTGTCCTGGGGGGAACCCGCCTCTCACCCTATGGCAGCTGGGATAGGGTCCAGCCTCCCTGCGACTCTGTTAAAGATAATTGGAAGAGATCGGAGGGATGAATGATATAGTACAGTGGAGGGGATAACAGGAGTTATATGTGTCCTGTCACATTTTCTACTATTTTGTACATTTTTTGCTTTTTTTATTTGGTGAAGGTTTTTTTTTCTGAACTTGTACGATCTGTTAGAAAGTTGAACCACTGATTTATTGATCATTTTTACCTGTTTTTTTTTTTTTGTTTGTTTATTTGTTGATGGTTCAAGCTATTACGATAAAAGTTGTGAGGTGTTTGTTTACAGTCAGCGAGGATAAGTCGCCTGGAAGTAAAACAGAAGGAGACCATGTGATGCTGAGGCTGAGGAGCTTGAACAGCTCTGCTGTAATTAGTCCTATAGAGAAATCTTGATTTTAAACCAGCTTTAACCCTCTGACACCAAGTGTCTCATATTTAATACATGTGTTTTCCAGACATCTATGTCATCAGTGTGGTTTGTTTAAGATGAACTGTGAGCAATGAATTGCACAAAAAATGCCAGATGTATCAAAAGCGATACAAATTGAAACTTATATTATACTATTATACTTTTTAAAATTTGTTAGAAGGTGTAATAAATTCTCCAGTTTAAAACAAACAAACAAAAAAAAATTAATGGTTCAGGCTTTAGAGAGTTAACCACCTTATGATGTTTTAATAAAAAGTTAAATTAATAATCATAAAGAAAACAATATTTTTATAGAAAAAGATCTGATGAACTTTCACTTGCCTTGTGTCTTAAAAATGTCACTTAACAGTAACAACATCGCTCGAGCGGTGCCACTCTAGGACAGCTGTGAACTGTCTGTGGTTTCTTTGATATTATGAAAGAAAGAAGAAAAAAAAGGATTGAGTTCTAACAATAGAAAAATGCTGATATGTTACTTTGTCCCATGATTAATCCTCACCGTTCCTCCTTGGTGTACTTTTGTGTGACAGATGAGGGCCAGACGGTGTGCGGTTCACCTGCTGATACTCAGGGCCGTCGCCTGGGGGAGGTGGGCATCCAGCTACGGACGTTATGTCATCAGACACTCGGCTCCTGGGACTACCTTTTCTTTGTTGTCATCGGCTTTGTCATCTTCGCTGCTGGCACCGTGTCGGCCTGGGTGATGGGTGTCATCATGGTGCTCTATGAGCGCTACATCAAGAAGAAAGACGAGCAGCTCGAGATGGACGACGAGGAAGAAAGCATTGAGACAGGCCGCGCTGCGAGCACCAGGAGTGGCCATGACAATGGGAATTTAAAAACTTCACATACTGTTTAAAACAAAAATCCCACCCCTCTCGCCATGGATTCCCACAGTGCCTCCTTTCAACTTCCACGACTGTCTGAGAAGTCTCATGAAACTGGGTCCGTTTATCAGGCTCGGATCTGTTAATGAATGGAACAAGGAATGTGTTTCTATCATTTTTAGTGGGCTTCCAGGTGTTGTTACACACACTGTAGTCGCCATAGTGGAGGTCTCCAGTTCTTGGGTAATACATAGACTATGTATGCAAATATATGACCACATATTTTGTTACTTTATGTGCAAAGTTAGCATTAAAAAAACTCAAAAACAACATATCTCAGAAAAACTCTGAATATGTTTTCACAGAGATATTTCTGACTGATCTTCACATCAGTTTAAAATCAGCTTTTCGAAATTTTAAAGTTTAAAAGTAAAAAAAAAAAGTCAAGACAAGGCAAAGATAGAATCTTAAGCTAAAAGTAACCTACCCCCAGGTTACCTGTGAACTGCGACCTGCACTATAGTAACACCAGTTGAAATAAAGACGGAAAACGTGGCTTACAGTTTGTGCTTTGCTGATGATATTGTTAACACTGAGTAGGAAAAGTGTGTTTTTGTGACTGTAGTTGTAGTTTTTTTTCTCCAGATCAGTTTGTCTTTTTTATTGGTACATTTTTCACTGAATATTCCTCTAAGATGCTTTATTATGGTTATTTTATGGATGTACTGAGGAAAGCTGGATACCAGAACTAAAGATGTTGACGGCTTGCTTGACAGAAACAGAGCTCTAACTGGATTTGTAGCTCAGTGAAGGAGCACAAAAGTATTTTCCTCCAAAAAAGACCTTCACCTACTGTCTACAGCTATTGGCCCATAGCTGTTTCACTGCATTGATATCATAAAAATAAAACTCATTGATAACGTTTATAGGAAAAATATGTTTTGGGCACAGAAGATCTTGATCACTGTGAAAAATGAACAACACAAACTTTTTTTTATTAAAAGACAGACATTTGCTGATGTTGAAACCAGATGTGACAAGAAAGTGGTGGATCTGAGTGAGAAATGGAGGGACACTGCACACTCATACAGTAATGATTTATAAACCATCTCTAAAGGGGATCATGGTTTACAAACTAAACATCATGCTATATTCAGTAAGAATTGAAACTAGCATCTGAGACCATATAGCTATTATTTAAAAAAAAACCAACTCTTAATGAAGTCAAAGACAGCGGGAGTTGAAGGGCGGTTTTTGCCATAAATTATTAAACTGCTGAACTCCTGTTTGGAAACTGTGTAGTCGCCCCCTGCTGGCCACAAGAAAGAATCAGGTTTAAGGCATTTTCACATTAGCTTTACCTTTTAGGAACACAAGCTACATCCATCTTTGATATACAGTCTAAGGAGCAGCAATGCTGAATACATTCAGAGGTTTAAACTTATAAGGAAATTATAGCAAAATAATCCCACTTAAGACATTTAAGAGCTAAACAAATGTGTGTGGATAAGTTTAGACATCTAAGTCGGACAATTATATCTAAGCCATAGTCAAAATATCCATGCATCCATGCATCCATCCCACCAGCTGTCTGGCACAGAGAGACAGACAATGGCTCACATTCGCACCTACAGCTAGATTAGTTCTAAATCTATGAGTTAAAACCAACCATCAAAGAAAAAATGTTGCTGTTTGCGTTCCATTGTCTTAATACCAAGCTAGGCTAACCATGTACTGGCTTTATATTTAGTGGATGGATACAAATATGCCTCTCACTCAAAAAACAAAAATGAATTCATCTTGCATTACCATCATTTTTTACATGTCTGGTTTACAGCATTCGCTAAAAAATCCAATAGAAGGAAACTAGAAATGTTTGCCAAATCTTCTGTAGTAACTATAGACCCAGTTCAAATATACAAAACATTTTCCTAGTATTATAAAATGCACAAACACTGTTTGGTTAAACCATACAGCCATCTTATATAGAATTGTTTTGTTTACACTGACAGTTTTCTCAAGGACCTCCATGATGGCACTAACCAAAGCAATACAATTGTGACACAGCGCGAGCTCCTCTGTGTAACATTATAAATGTCTTGTTGTCGCTCCACCCACAGGTATGACAGGAAGGAGAGGAGGAACTTTTTTTAAGGAGTGCATTTATCCCCATGTATGTGACAGAGTGTACGATGTAGCTTTATGTGTGACTCTGCACAGTGAGAGTGTCAGTCCGTGCACTGCTGGGGCATGATTTTGTACTGTAATCCATCTTTCCCTTGATCATTAGCCCAGAAACAAACTGCTGTGGCCGTATTTGTGTTAAGGTTCTACAGTTGTTGTGAAGTGGAGAGAGCCCACAAATGCCAGCTGCTGAGATCTGTTTTGGCAGTGGGCCCTGCTGGATGGCGAGAAAACAGGACAATGTGATAAGTGATTTCTACTCTGTTGGGTTGGAGTGCAGTGTCCTATCTACTTCTGCATGCACTGTTAATGCACCAAAAAGCCTTACAAGGTGTGTATACGTTCATTAAAGAATGAAATAGGATTTCCTGTAACATATGAAAACATCCTATTTGTGATCATTTCAAAATGCTTAAAAAAAACAATTCTTTGTATTTTTTGGTGACTGAGTTACTGTGCAAAGACAAACATTATTTATGCCCAAAATAGCAAACATGAACACTTGCTGTGCTTCAGGTTTCCATGTCACAAACCTTCCATGCTTTTAATACTTATCTGGAATTGCTCTCCATTGACCCTGACTTTAGTATCAACTTGCTTCAACCGAGACATCAGTCTGCCTTTTGTATGTGTACTGTTCCTGTCTCAGAATTATTCATTTGATTAAAGAAAAAAAAAGCTATGACAGACATGCGAAGGATTAGATCAGATACTTTTTTCCTGTGTTTGAAGTCAAATGTTTAGATGTATCCAAGTATAACATATCGCAGAATTGAAAGCAAAGCAGAAAAGAAATACTTTACTGAAGATATTTTGAGACACACACACATTAAATCAAATTAACGAGAGCCAAAATATATTTAGCTATACAATACTTTGTTTCCATGGCTTTGGGTTTAATTTGCTATTCTGATAATGTCAAGGTCGACTGAATGTGGCAGGATTTGTGTGCCGAAACATGTGAAGGTTTTTTGAACTGCAACTGCACAAACTGATGCCTTTCTGTAATGTGATCTACATCTAATAGTGAGAAACCTTTCTTCACACATTTACTGGCACTTCCAGTCACATATTCTTGTGAATTGTCCAAAAAGAAAAAAAAAGGTAGGGTTTTATATTTTATGTGATGAAATGAATGCACAATAATAGCATATTATAAACACAGTATTTATGGATGTGTCAGAGGTGGTGTCACAGGTATTTTATTTTTGGTCACCACAGGCCTTTCACGTAGCAAACACATGGCAGCGTTTGATGTACAAAGGTTTTCTTGTTGCATTCCTTAAGAGCTATTAAAAGAAGAAAGCAAATATAAACCACAAACATAAGACAGTCAGAAAATAATTCTAATTTTTTGTTGCTTGTTTTCTCTTGAGAGAGAGAGATGATTGGAATTAATGCTGACTCATAACAGTATATATAATTATGCATGTACCGATGTTTTGATTGGTACATGCATAATTATATATACTGTTACTTCAGCAGTATGCTGAGATGCCTTCAGTCCTGTGCTCCTGATTGCTTCTATGGCTTTGGGTGGAATATTTGCATGGGTTCTGTCAGTAATGCATTGCTTAATGTGCAGGTCTATTCAGGTCTCCATACTAAACTCTCATATATACACATACATACATAAACTCGATCATTTTGACTGTGAGCCTGTGTTAGTTTCTGCTGCAGCTTACTGATTAGGCCATGCGATGCCACAGGCAAGGGTGAGGGTGCAGACTGGAAATAGGATAGCTGATTGCCCCAATTCATGTCAGCACAGTGACACACATGAAATGACAAGGAAAACCCACGTCTCCCTCTCCTAATACACGTACACGCTGCAGTTGCTGTTCGTTTACACAAGGTGAAGGTTTGCAAAGCTTGGTTTTGAGTAATAACAGCTTCCTGTTGCATAGCACGTGAATGAGCTGAATTTCAATATTTAAGTGGATGAAGTAAAATGGAACATTTTGCACTTGTTACACCCCCGTGCTTCACGGTCAACCCATACTTAGGCACACGTATGCTTAAACACACAGAGACAGAAGCCTTGGTTCTGCCTCTAATTTCCCCTTGGGGTAGAAAGACTCTTATTAACACTGATTCTGACAGCGAGTACAATAGTATTGTTTCGCATCACAAACAAAATTGATATAATTTGCTTTCTTTCTGATGGTAAAATAAAGTAGAAATCTTTCTCTTGTCTATCTGATGAAAAGCCAGCAGGTTATTAACATAGCATAAAAATAGGGGAAGACAACTAGCTTAGCTCTTGGAAGGAAACTAAGCTGGCATAACACAAAGGTAAAAAATTTAAGTGGGTTTAAAAAGTGCTAGATGAGTTGATTACTTAACTTTGAAGACCAGCAGTTTTTTAGTGTATGATGGTTACACACCAACTAGCACAACTGCAGCTACATAGCACCAGAACAGGTGTTCAAAGGGCAGAGTAGTAATGCAAGAGAAGCGATTCTTTCTATTCACAGAACCATAAAAGGATTTAAAAGCTGCCATTTTTATTTTATATAGGACTGCAGTGCTCCTTTAAACAAAAATGTAACATTCAGTTGGCAGGTTGGGTTAGGGTCGCTTTTTCCTTCTGGTTCCATGTTAATCTAAGTTCAGCAGCAACTGGCTACAGCATCACATTAACATACAAACCTGAGGAGCAACAATCATTTGATCTGACCATTGGCAAGTTAGCAAGTAGTAAGAGCACATTTCCCAAGATGTTGAACTGTGGCTTTGAAATAATAGCAGTACTTAAGGCAGCTGTGGTGCTTGCGAATGGATGTTTGTTTTCATTTTCATATCCCATCATTCAAAAGCCAAGCTGAGGCAGTGGTCAGGATGTGCTCCAGGACAGAGATGCGCCCAACTGGATATGGTCACATTACAGCTGTGACTGCGAGCCAGTTCAGTAAATAGACAAGGAAATGCAAACGGCTACTGGACGCAGAAGCTCCTGCAGCCCTGCTTCCTGCTCATATTTTTGCACCATTGTGTGCACCCACTGAGCTGGAGGCAAACAGGCCAATGTAAAAATGCCTGCAGATGGGAGATGTGACATGAAGTAAGACTGGCTCTAACCGACCGTAATAGCCCTCTGACACATCTACTTACAAACATGCTCACTTACACACAGTCATGCACACACACACACATCAAATTGGAAAATAATCCTTTAGTCATGGAATAGTGGAATGACTTAAACTGAACTTGGAGATGAGGGGGATATTTCCACGGAAGGGTGGAAATCTGGTGTCAGTGTTACAGCTGTTACGTGAGAATTTCATCATTAATCAGACCCAAATTAATGTTAGCTGAGACAAATCTGCGATACATGCTGTACGCCTGTAAAGAAAATACTTTAACGTATATAAACGTATGAATGCATTTCTTTTGCATGCATTTGTGAACACACGAAGGCTAAGGAGGGTTCTTGTTTTATACTCCGAGTTACTTTCTGACCACAGAAGGATCAGGATCTGCAAACACTGGTTTTCCACCAGTTTTGCTTCCCTCATTTCCTCCATTGTGATCTCAGTACATTCTCAAAGCAAATTATTTGTGTTGTGGGATTTGTTGCAAAATAACATTACTGTTTGATTTGATTTCTGTCACATGCAGTATATGGTATATATTTTATTGCAGTATATATTCTATTGGACTCAATATTGACAACTTCTACTTATCCCTTCCTTGGAAAGAGGCTATTGATTGATTGCCTTCACTTGGCAAAGAAGAGGATGGTCCTGCTGCTGTTACACACTGTATTTCCACACAGGCTCAGGGGCCTGCCAACTCTGTATCCTTCCCCAGCAATAAAAGGTCATTGGAGAGGAGATGGTGTGTCCTTTTGTGCGTCACAGTTCTGCCTGGAGAAGTGTTTTTTTCTTCTTTTTTTTGTTTCGCCTTCTTAGACGTCTCCTCTCCTCCTCTTCTTTTCTTGAAACGTGTTTTCTTCCGCTCTTGCTCTGTGGGTATGTAGAAGGCTAGTCGGTGTCTAATTAGCTTCCAAGTCAAAAACCTGTAAAGCCAATAGGCACATATGCACTGCAGAGACCGTCGCACACAAGTTAATAGGCACACAGACATTCGCAGCTGGAGATGTGTTGCATTTTACATTAGTGTATTCTGGGCACCCAGGCCAGTGCACAGTTGTTTTAATCCAATGGAGCTGGCTGCACAAGTGAGATAACGAGATGCTTACTCACACTAAGCTCCAACTCAAAAGCAGCACAATGGTATTTCAGACTGAGACAGGCACTTTGCAAACTGGTCTGTGGTATTTTTTGCACATACAACTGGCATGAAAGGGACTTTAATTTTCATTTGACTGGCTCTGTTCCTCTTATCTCTTAAATGTCTCTTTATCCCTCCCTTGCTTTATTTGTCTCTTATATATTTTGGCCATATGGCCAGAAATATCTGCACCTGCCATTTTCCCTATTGACATGCCTATTTCTAGCTTTTTGCCAATCTCCACCCTTCTCTCTTTCTCTGAACAGAATACTTTCTTGCTGTCTGATAAATACCAACAATGAGTTAAGCTTAGCTTAATACAAAAAAGCTTCTTATCTAATTCATATACTGTACATTAACTGCTTCTAGCACTGATAGTCTTGCAAATTTTTGCTTTAATACTTCAATTTTTGGAGCAAATGAAATAATGTAGTGACCTTCAGGATTGCTTGCACTGTATGTGTGTGCATTTTCACATCAAAAAACACCTCTTGGACATCTTTGCACAATACAGCTGCATTCAGCTTTTATGCTCCTTATATCTGGAAAAAACTCCCAGAAAGCCTCAGATCAGCTGAAACACTCAGTTTATTTAAATCCAGGTTGAAGACTCACCTATTCTCAGCTGCATTTGAATAAAGCACCAAATCCACACTTTTAAGCTTAAATTTCAAAACTTACATTTAACTACTGATTTTATCTATTGTTCTGATTTTATCTGTTTTGATTTTATATACTGTTTTGTTTGTTTGTTAATTAGTTTGTTTGTTTGCTTGTTTTAATCAATTTTAAATCATGCTTTTTATTTGTTTTTGTTTCTAATGTCTCTGTAAAGCACTTTGAATCACCTTGTTGTTGAATTGTGCTATACAAATAAACTTGCCTTGCCTTGCCTTGCCTTACACTCAAGGATAGGAGTCCAGGCACATTATGAGGCTGGAGGTGAAAGCAACTGAGAGACACAGGGAAGGAGTTTCAGGGATCAAGTGAGGGTCAAGGTTGGCATGCCCAAAAGGTACTGTGTCCCTGTACTTTCACAGTAAACAGTTAATAGTCTTCAAGTTGAATCAGTAGCTCCATAATTTTGACACCTGAATGAAGAATCTTGGGCTCGAATCTTCGGAGACACCTGGGTCAATTTTGAAACTCCAGAATTTCTGTATTTCAACACTTGACATCTAGCAAACACTATAGTCTACCATCAGTGATATATCACATACACTAATTTTGCCTGACAGAATCACGTCCATTTTTAATTCAGTCAGCCCAGTGAATACAGTCATTCAATTGTGGATTTGACTTCTGTTAATTTCTTTTTAAAAGAATCATGAACCCCTTTCCGTCTTTACTTCTTACAAATAGTAAAGATAATCAGTCACTTTAGGAAGCTCTCTTTATACATAATCCTCTTACTGACTTCTTGTTAATTAACCAAATTAGACTTTCGTTGGCCCTTTCTCAGCTTTTTTTCTTCTTCTTTTTTACAAACCATTTCCATGTTTTCCCTCTTGCTTTTGTCCGTTTGATATCCTTCTGTCTGCTTCTTCCTCGTGTCACTTAAATATTGATAGGTTCCTCGAGCAACAGAAAGAAACTTTAGACCTGTAACAGTGCACAGCGCTGTTGTCCTTCGGCTCGGTTCTCTCCAGTCACTTTAACTCATCACACGCCGTCTTTTCCTGTGTGGAAGTGGAGTTCTACGCTATCGAGTAACAGCACAACTGTAATAAAAACCCTCGAAGGAAGTGCTGTTTTTCCACCCTTCTCATGACTTGAACTTCACACCTCTCTGGCTGTTAGCACTTAAACTTTTAACACAGGGCTGCCACTGTGAGTTTAAAGTTTAGAAGGCGAGTCTGTGTTAAATGCTGCCTCTGGATCAGATCTGGTTCCCGTTTTCAAGCGTACAGAATAACCCACCACTTCCAAGGAAATGAGAAACCTGGCTGAATCACAACATGCAACATTATTTTATTTTTTAATAAATACTTTTAAATTCCTGCTGGGATTTTCTTTTTTAAACAGGTGAATCGAAGCAAATTGACACTTAAAAAGTTGAGCAGCCAGGTAATAGTCAAATATTCACGTGAGCTTTTTAAATTCACTTCTCAAAAGGAATTATTAATAGAACAATTTATAATAGACACTCTCGATGCCTACAAGCAGTTCTGTCTTCCGGCTGTATTACATAAAACATAATGAATTCAGAGAGCCAGAGAGCGACAGTGTGCGAGAGAACAGAAAAATAAGAAGAGGAGAGAAAAACAGATAAACAGCAGGTTAAGCCTGCTGGTACCTAGCCACTTATCACACGATGATGACCTGGAATCTGTACATTTAGTGCCTAAATAATTTACACAAATACACATTATGGGCAAAACAGTCCAAAAAATACAGTACTAAAGCACCCCCTAGTGACAGGTTTTGAAATTAAAACCTTAAGTCAATCCATTTTTAGCTGCAGTTCATTTTATTAAGCTTCTATGCTGTTCAGCCCATTATCAATGTAGACTAAAAACAGTGCACATGTCAAAGTAGAACATTCGCTCTGTAAACAACAACTCTGGTTTCAAAGTAAATAAACAGTTTAAAAAATAGATAACACAAATAACTTTTTACATCAAGCAAATACACTGTCCATATGAAATAAATATTATGCATCATGTGGTTTATTCTATTAAATATGTTTCCAGATAATTAGCAACAAGTGTCTGCACCTTGATACTGCCTCTGCTTTCTCTGCAACTATATATCTAGCGTATTTCAGATATAGGTCAAAGATAGCAAATCAAGTAAAAGTCTTTTTTTAACACTTCTGTCAAGAGCGTTGAGGTGCCGTCTGATTGTTGAACGCTCCCGCATGAATCTGATGTTTCTCAACCATGCTCAAGACGCTGTCTGATAGTCCTTTAATGTCACTGTGTGTGCTGGGATGTGCAGCCAAAGCTTTCAGAAGTTCAGTCAGGCCTTCCTTCTCCAGCATGCTGCTGTAGTGTGAAGCTGGATGGATTGAGGAGAGGAGAAGCGATAAAAAGATGAAAGAGGGATAGAGCTCAAGACTATTAATAAACCAAACAGCCTATAAAATATGATCATATTTTTGCATGAATAAAACAATTGTTTCAGATCAACCCATCACGCCGATAGTGTAACCGTCCTTGGATCCCCACAGCTGTGTTTGTGTGTGTGTCTTACTGTTTTGAGTGCAGACCAGATGTATGGCCCAGACTGCCCACAGCTGCACGCCTGCGGGCTGACAAGTTTGAAGCAGAGGGCAAAAAGGATGGAACGACCTGAAACATGGACATCAAATAACCCAGTTTTTGTTTGTCCCAGATGCAATCCAGCTGAGTATGTGAGCTAAGGTGATGCAGAAAATGATTCTCAATCACATTTAGGACGTTTTCTTGTGATGTCTGAGCTTTCTGTAGCGATTGTGGTAGAATTCTGGGTATAACTCAGCAGAAAAAAAGAAACAAACAACAACAAAACCAAACTGGCAAGTGCCAGTGATACCCCTCAGGCTCCTGGCAGTCGAATCTTTAGCTGCCATAAATCTAGTGGAAAGACGAGTTTTATAACACATAATTACCAGGTCATCTTTTAAGACTTCAGCTATCAAATTGTGCCCTGGCTGGAAAATTCATACAGCTACAGCAGAAGGGTTATTATCACTAAGAAAATTTAATGAATGCCAAATGGGGAAAAGTCATTTTATCTAAAACGCTGAAACAGTGGCGTTGGTATAGCTGCACCATTGAGAAAACAATGCATGAATTATATTAAAGTTGCAAAATCCAAAAGTATCAGAGATTGTCAGTAGATGCAGCTGTGCTGTCATATGAGAAGCCTATATGATATCCTTCCTGAGTAAATATACCTATAGGCATGGTTTAAAAGATCCTACATGACCTCCTTCTCAAGCTACTGTGTTCACTAAACTTGACCTCTGACCTTGAAGTCTTACCTTAATCATGAGGTCAAGGCTGCTGATATTCAAAGCTATCAGAGAACCTTTTCTCGAGTTATCATCACTGCTGCCCACCTGGTTAACCCAGTTAATGCCCCAAGTGTTTCAGGCTGAGAGGTAAAAACTGTTAAAAGGAACTGTCCATGGTGTTTAAGATCAGGCTTGTATTCCACTGATTAAACTGGTGAAAACTGTGCAAATGTTGAGTGATCTAAAGAGAATGTAACATGTGTAACCTAATTAATGGGGAAACTGTTTAAATAAAGTGTTATTCAGCATGTAGCTCATGTCTGATGTCAAACTTAGACTAGTTTTATTCTCTCTTTACATATTTCTGTTCTGTCTTTGCGATTCTCTCACCTGTAAGACACCATCTCCCTCTCAAGATGGGTCCACGTCATGATGGAATCGTGCTGCCGAGACAGAAAGGCATATTCACAAAATGTGGTAGATCTTACGTGAAGAGCAGCATTCAAAACACACACACACCAGCTGCTTCAGTACGGTGCTGCGCAACTCATTTTCCAGGGTCCAGGCATCTGGTCTGGAAGCAAGGTGCGCCAGTATCCCCCCTGCAAAGTAGCGAACCCCCACATCCACCTGAGAGTCCTGCAAGAGGCTGAGAATGTGCTCCAAAATGTCCTCCTCCATCAGATCAGCCTGCAACTCCTCCACCTCAGCAATGTTGTTCTGCAATTCAGGGAGACCAATTATAGCAGTGACTGCAAAAACATAATATAAAAGGCAAGCATAACACAGGAACTGTTTTGTGTATGATTACGGCTGCCTACAGATGACTTCATTTAAAAGTATATACACTACCCACCAGAAGGCCAAGAACTTTCTGCTGAATAGAAGGTTCAGTGTAGTAGGACTGCAAAGCAAAAGGGAACAGCATGAGAGGAAACATACACTCTTATGTTAACGTCTCTCTTTGTGATGTTCATTTTTAATCAGTGTGTCTATTGCTTTATTTTCTGGTCTCCTTTACCTCCAGAACCTCCTCGTACAGCTCCAAGCCCCGGCACTCAATGAAATTGCGCGCTGCTACTGGCATTTCATCCGTCAGGTTCCACAGAGCACTCAGGGCAAACTTCAGAGTGGAGTCGACAACTCCAACCATGGCTTTCTGCTGCACAATAGCCAGCAGCTGCTGTTAACAGAGACAACAAGAAGAGGAAATATGGCACCGTGGAAAAGCACAGAGGGGGAGAGAAAATGGGAGATTACTTTTTTTGTAGAATAAATAAATATATAGGAGAAATATTGTACACATAGCGGGAACATACTAATGTGTAGCTTTAGACATAGAGCAAAAGAGGATAACTAAGTGTGGAGAGCAAGACGAAGTGACTGAGAAGCAGAGAAAGAGCAAATTGAGGCGTAGGCGTGCATTAAGCGATGGAATGACAAGGGCATCGAGTAGAGACGTGTATGCATTAAGTAACTGTAAATGGACAGGTGAGAAAGACGGTGAGGGAAAGAAAAACACAGGGAGAGAATTAGAAATAAACCCGTGCTAAGCCGGTACCCTGAGAGCCTTAATGTACCTTCATTATAAAGATATCCTTGCTGAATTGTGCCATCTCCT